GAAACAAAAAAGTAATAATAATTAAAAAAAAAAAAAACAATACCGATTGATATTTCAATAAATAGTATTGTGAAGATGTAAATGCGCCAGGTGAAATTTGATGACTTTAAATCTGTAAAATTTAGAAAACTCAAAATCATGGTTTTTCTATAATGAAATAAGCAGGCTTACAAAGAGATCTTTATAATTCCTAAACGTATTATATATGACATCACATTTGTAACCCAATCGAATCTTTGATTTAAAGTAATGATTGACTTAAAGATATCATGAATCTTTTTATCAAAAAGTTATAAAGTTTATTAACTAATAAATTATTTTACTTTTGATTGTTTTATTGCATAAAATTATCTAGGTATGAGTCGTCGGAATATGATATTTTAATATGTAATCTATAGTAGTTCTCAATTTAACTTTAATATTAAACGCTTTAAATGTTAATTTTTTAACCACCTGATTTTAAACTTTTTAGTACGTACGTACGTACGTACTGTACAAACAATGTATCACATATATATGTATTATCTTGATTAGAATCGAATGACTTTTATTAAAACATTCGATTCTGATCGATTCATCATAAGCAATCACAAGTCGGAGATACTTGTAAATATGATGGTGAATAATAAGAAATTATGAATAGCTTGTATAAAAACTTGTATAAATTATTCATAATAGGAAATTAAGAATAGCTTGTATAAAAACATGTATAGATTATTAATCATAATATACTTAAAATCTGCGTAGTTTATTAGATTCCTAGCTCTTAATAAAATATAATAATACTCTATATACTGTAGTTATATAAATAATACATATAATATATATATGTATAAATATACGTATTATATATATATATATTTATGGTCGTTGAATTCAAATGTAAATTCAAACCGTAAATACTCTACTGAAACAATGAATTTACATACTTGGTACTCAATAGTAAAAATCCATCGTCATAATCGAAAATAAACTCTATCATCTCTTAAAAGGTCTTAAAGAATGACTCTGGTTTGCATTAACAATATTACAAAAGCATGTCTTAAAAAAGTAATTTAATAATTTCCAGTCTGCATAAAACAACAATAATATAAATAACCTAAGTATACTTAACCTAAAAGTGCGTCTTATACTTGCATAACGATTGCATTTAATACCGTATTTACTTAAAAAAATTTTCATATGCCTAATCGTCATCCAATTATTGTATATAGTGACCTAACTGTGCATGGAGAAAATCAAAAATAAGGGTTTATATATACACTTAAACTTATTAACGCGAAATATATTTACAGTCACGTAAAAAAAAAATTATCCCTTAACGAGGTATGTGTAATAATGCATATCAGAACGACTGTATAATTGGTTAATTGCATTACTTTCATATATGAGTGCCGCCAAGAAAAAACCTGTTATCGGGATTGAAATCCCGATATCAGGTTTTCTTTCATATCGATATCGAAATCGATATACTGATTTAAGCACAGGCAAGGCGTAACGTACTGTAAAAAAAAAAATCGACAAATAAAATAATTTGGTTCAATATGATTGGTGTGTTTAATAAAGAATCTTTGCATCATGTGCATTATGGTAAATTTAATAAATAGATGTCATCACGGATCAAGAAACCATTCAATTTTGCATAAAAATTACTCGATCCTGATTACTATTTCTTATTATCCGAAACGTAGCAGAGGATATAATGAGGAGTAACATAGTCATAGTACGTAATAGACTTGATTATCTTTGCACTTATTTTTTTGATTAGATGGATCATCAATTTAAATATAATTTATATCTGCTTTTATTTTTTTAGTTCCCAGCCGCAGATACAATAAAAAAAATCACATGCTATGTTTATCTGATAGGTCGTCGTACGAACGCGAACGTAGTATGTACTTGACAGTTAATATAAATTTAGATTACATTATTTGACCAAACGTACTACACTCGACATTTTTCTTTCATATAGTCTATAACATCTTGTCATTTTGGATCAAATGAAATTAATCGTCTGAAATGCCAAATACTGTATATTACGACTTGATTATTATTATGAAGATGAAAATAAAATAAAGCATTTATTCTTTATCAAAAATTTGCAATGATGACTATCTCTTATGAAATGTACCAAGTTGGTTATATCATTATTTAGAAATTGAAATTGAAATAGATAAATATATTATCTAAAATCAGCTGGAGCAATTCTACAACTGCCATTTGTTACAAATACGGAATTAGTGTGCAAAAAAATTCTAAAAAAATATATATATTATGTTTGGTTTGGGAGTAGTTATTTATTAATTTAATTTGCATTTTACAATTAGAAATTATTAAAACTGTTTAATTTTTTTTAGAGAATACCGATTATAAAAATTATACCAAGTATAAATTTTTAAACAATTAAGGCTGCAGCATTAGAACATATGGCAGTGACATGGTGGTGACGTATAGCCCAAATTTTATATGAAGTGAAGGTAACATGAAAAGTAGCTACCTTTGGCATTCCAAACGTTTACATCTATATAAACAAACAATATAACTCAAAATTTATTTAGTCCGTAAGTATAAAGAATATTTATTTATCTAAATATTTAAAATAAGCTATTCGAATACTTACTATTTAATTTATTTTTTATTTGTATCGACTTAGTGTGTGATAAGCTATTCACGCTTTTTGATATCTAATTTATTATTTAACTTTATTTTATGTATCAAGAGCATTTATCAATATAGGCTTTAAATAAGCTATTCAAGAATATGAATATTTACTATTTAATTTTATTTTATTTTATTTTATTTGGGTTAATTTATTTAGTGAGTATAAAAAGCATTTATTAAACTAAAGTATTTTAGAATAAATTATTCGAGTTAATAAATATTTATTATCCAATCTCATTTCTTTGTGTTAATTTAGCATGTGAGTAAAAAAGAACATTTATTAATCCATGTAATTAAGATAAACTATTCAAATTCATAAATATTCACTATGCAATTAATTACACTATTACGCTAATTTAGTTATTAGTGAGTTAATCTTAGTATTTAAAATAAGCTATTCAAGTTCATGAATATTCACTACTGTATTTAATTTCGTTTTATTTACGTTAATTTGGTAATTAATCCAAATATTTAAAAAAAGCTATTAAAATTCATGAATATTTACTATTGAATTTCATTTTTTTCATGTTAATTTAGTGAAGAACACTTATTATCACGGGGGACGGTGTCCAGCATGTAATTCTGACATAACAGTTCAAGGTTGAACAAGTGGAAATAAAGGAAATTGACAATTGCATGAAAGAGGTTCAGCTTAGAACAACTAAGTATGAACGTGTGATTGAATGGATTCCATTTGACAGGTTAAAAAAAAATTGACGAGGTTAATCCTGTGTTTCTACAACCTGGTTGGATGGTATACGAAAAATTGATTATAATTGAGGTAAATATACAAAGCACTCGAACTACCTTGCACCGTTACACTCAAAACCCCATCTAAATTTTTTGAAATGTAGATCTTACGGCAGTAGACCAAAGGTATATGGATTAACTAAGAACACAGAAAAAGTGAATACTTGATGGTAGTGATGGGCAATCGGCAGTTTTTCCAAAAATCCCGCGCGATTACACGCGTGATTCGCTTTCCCATATTTCGGAATCTTATGGAAAATGGGTCAAATTTTACTTAGACCTCAGATTATTTCGGAACCTGGCCTGAATTATGACACTGCCCGAATTATACAATATATCCTGCGCATTACACGCGTGGATCACGCGCGGTGCCCATCACTACTTGATAGTATTTCAATATGCTGATAATGAATGCCATTAAAAGTTTTAAAAAAAATTTTTTCAAGATATTATTCGGATAATTAAATTAAACCTACTTAAAGATATTTCATGGGAACTCGCAAATAGGACATATTCATGCAAGCTTGCATAGTAGTAATATTTTACAGGATGAATGTATTAGTAAAAGTATAACCATCTCTTTCGGATCTGGGATTATCTAAAAAGAAGGATCAAAAAGATTCAAAGGTTGTATTTGTGGCGTCATTCTTTAAGTTGCACCAGAAGTTTTATCAGGTCAAAAATTTCCATCAGCTGCTGATGTTTACGGCTTTGGAGTCATCATGTCAGACTCAGTGTTGTTGCAAAACCGGTCTAGTGGGAATCATGGAGCTAACTAGTTGGAACTGGAAGAAATAATGATTCCAGTGGCTAGTTGTCACTAGACTCTTCCAGTCACATTTTTTTTGCCACCGGAAGGAAGGTTCAGTAATATTTAATAGAGAATTTTTATAGATCATATATAGTGTTATTGACCGGAACTGGAACGTCACCAATAACGTCCGGTGGCTTCCAGTGATAAATGTTATAGGGAGTTTCAATCATTTCTCTAACTTCTATTTTCTCAACAATACCTCACTAGTTCCTCCGGCATTCACTTTGACAAAATATGGTTTATTTTTACAATGTTTATATTTTCATAATAAGAATCTCTTTTATAATCATTAATTATATTTTCTTCATGCTTACTAACGTGAATAAAATTAAAATTAAATAGTAAAACATTCGTGAAATTGAATGGCCTATTTTAAATACTTAACAGACTAAACTAACGCGAATAAAAAACATCTGAATTAACACGAATAAAATAAAATATGAATAAAATAATAATAATATAATAAATATCCACGAAGTTGAATAACTTATTTTAAATGCTTATATCGATAAATATTCTTTAATAAAAAATTATATTCTTGAAAATCAAATCATTAACTTTTAATTTAATATTCAATTTCGTTAATCTCGCGAAAAGTTTATAATTACTGTATATATTTAAAAATTAATCTTAGTTTATGAATAAATATTTAAAATTAATCTTAGTTTATAAATAAATATTTAAAAAAAATATTTAAAATCTAAAAGTTTTATCACAAAAAAAAAAAAAAAAAAAAAATTATTATTATTTTTCACAATACCGATACTATATCAGGTTACTTTTGTTTGTCCCTATTAGTCAACTTCATGGCAAAAAACGCAAGTACAGCCCATCCAACTGCAATTATTAAAATATTCAATAAACATCGTGGATAATCACTAAAGCTGTAGGTATGACCCAATGGTTGGGTCTTAATTTCATCCCATCTGTTAGATAAAATTAGGATATGTTCAATTATCAAAGTTATTTAAAATATTTAATATAGTAAAATGATACATACAGCCTAGGCTCCAATTCTTTAAGATATAATGACTCAACTGCCCATCTTGGTGCTGAAATCTAAATGTAATAATTTAAGTAAAAAGCTTTTATCAAAAAAAAAAAAAGATATAAGATACATAAATACTTACGTCCCATAACCATTCTATATAGGCAAAGGTACCACCACTCTCAACATCTTCCAACTTAGGAGTCGCACCACTCAATACCATACCCCAACCAAGTGCAAACCCTGTCCCAACAAGACTTAGTTTTTCCTTTGTGGTTACAGCTGAAATAAAATACCCTAATCGAAAAAATTTTTCAATTTAATCATGAAAAATATATATATATCGGTATATACATTTCAAGATAGTTTGACAATTCATTTTAATTTTTAAAAAAAAACTTACCCATCGCCCATGCAGAGACATAAGTAAACAAAACAATAATATAAATTTGCCAATATGGGGCCTTAAATGAATAAAATACAATAAATGCTAGCGAAAACATAAGAGCTGCGATGAGTAAACGAGGAATATCAGCAACTAATTTTGCTACAAAGTATGGAATGGTGCGCATTCCTGCTGCTGTATCTCGCCAGTAAACTACTTTTTCGTAGCCAAACGTTGAACCTCCAGCTAATGTATTAATAAGAAATTATGATTTGATGGAAGTTTTTTTTAAAAAAAGAGAATCAAATAATACGGTACGTACCACTAATCCCTGCAAATGTCACACCAAGTGCCATGAACACTCCAACATTCTAAAAAAATAATCATGGATAAGAATTTACAACCACATAAAATTTTTTTTAAAAAAAAAGAGTACCTGAATTGAATCCTTAGCATTGAGACAAATAGGTAAAAGAACAAATGGCGTAATCTCACATATCTCTCTAGGTGCTTTCCCAATATAATCCAAATTACTAACTGCCAAAGAAATAAAAATTCCACATCCAAGATGTAAAAGTTGATCCAACAAGAATTGTGTTCTATTTCTATAAAGTTGTAAACAAGCTCTTTTAAATAACAACATAAATGCAATAAATACATTGGGAGTTTCTCGAATTTGATCACTCTGACAGAAGCAAAGTGTACGTCTAAAGAACAAAAATAATTCCATTGTTACATCAGATATGTATAGTGCAATATCTTGAATTACGTGAAAAAATGGTAAACAAATTTCGACCCATAATGTTTTGAAAATGTTACGACGGGATTCAGTTTCGTCATCAGGAATACCAATTTTAGTATCACTAAACGTTGCCTTTTCTGTTTCACAATATCTTTCCCATGCATCAAATAAATCAGGAACTGTAATATCTTCTCGATCAACAGGGCGGACTTTTCCGGCAGCCACTTCCATCATAAAATCGGCTGGGCTACATTTAGAATAAGTTAAATAAAAGATATAAAACCATTCATTAATTTTTAAAAGATAATAACCATTCATTAATTTTAAAAAGATAATAACCATTCATTAATTTTAAAATGATAATAAATTGACTAATACCTTTCTTCCTCTGGACAACGATAACCAAGACTCACAAAATATTCCATTGCTTCATTTGTCGGACCAAAATATACAATCCTTCCACCTTTGCCCAATAATAAAAAGTCATCAAATGTTTTAAAGGCTTGTGGAGATGGTGAATGAATAACAGCGGCTACCGTCATTCCTTGACTATGTGCAATCTTTCTCAACAAATTACATACTTCAAGTGCTGTAGCTGAATCCAGGCCTGAAGTTGGCTCATCCTAAAAATATAATTTCATCTTTAGCAAAAATATATAAAAATAGTAATAACACTAACGTTAGTAATAAAGAATTAAGTTTACTAAAAAAAGCACGGATGGCTCAGCAACTAATTCCATTCCAATGTTTACACGTTTACGTTGACCACCAGAAATGCCACGTTGTTCTATCAATAAAATTTTAATAAATACATTGTTGAAATTATGAATAAATCTAAATAAATAGATTGAATTGATATTTACCTTCGTTTCCGATTATTGACTCCATCACATGACTTAATTCTAAAAATTCCATCACCTCAATGACTTTTTGCTTCTTTACTGCTCTATCCATATCACTTGGTAACCTCATTAATGCAGAATGCTATTATTTGAAATATCGTTGAAATAAATCTTTAACCAAAAACAAAACCATTATTAATAATTAAAATTATCAATATTGTGACAACGACGTACCACTAATATATCGCGTACAGTTAATTCACGAAGCATCACGTCTATAGAGTTTATGAATCAAATATTAAAATTAAGCTAAATACATTAGTAATCGAAATTCAAATAAGTGAATAACATACCCTCTTGAGGTACGAAACCAATAAGTTTTCTGTATTTTTCCAATGAATCAGGTACGCCATTGACTATAACAAGATAATGAAATTATCACATATATATATATATAAATATATAAATATAATTATCTAAGGTTTAAATATTGTTCTCTAATTACTTTTTACTTTGCCGCTTGTTCGCTTTGCCTTGCCGGTCAAAAGTGACACGAAAGTAGTCTTACCCGCACCTAAATAGCAATTATTCAATCAATTTGTATTAAATGCTAAACGAATAAATCTATCTATTGTTTTATTATATTATTATCTCTACTCTCTAAGTACTATATCACTAACTATTATTATCGTCATTACTATCGTTATTAAGTATCTGACAATAATTTACCAGATGGTCCCATAATTGCGCACGTTCTTCCATGAGTAAGTTTCCCCGTAACTCCCTTTATAAAAAAAAAATGAAAAATAAATTAAAGATTCAAAAAACCCACATATAGTAAATATAACTAATTATACCTTCATAATTTCAATACCAGATGGCAGCACTAATCCTAGATTTTCAAATTCGATATCAAAAGTTTTTTTTACAGGATCCAAAGTTCTTTCTAATCGCAATTTTTGTTCTGTTAATAATTTACTATATTTTGCATTTTTAAATATATCCCTTTTTTTTTTAATCTGGAATAACACTATAATTAATATCGCAATAAGAAATACTAATACGAAAACCAAGAATTTATTTGCTTTGCTTGAGCCTGGAGGACAGATTGCCAGGCGGTCACAGTATACTGGATATACGGTACCAAGGCTACAAACATATTCTAAGATTTTAAAATTTTTAATAGCAATTAACTAATTAACGCGATATGAAAAAAGTAAGGTTAATTAATTGTATATTTACCGGCTGGGCACATTGTTATGTCTGTGGCATCTAAAGAACAATTATAACCTGGGCAACAATATACCGGTTGCGCTATTAAAAAAAAAAAAGATTTATTATTATTATTATTATTTATTATTATTATTTATTATCTGTTATTATTATTTATTCTTATTTATTCTTAATTGTTATTATTATTGTTGTTGTATTGAATGCTTCATATAATAATCTAATATACCCAGATCATTATTTACCAGAATTCTCCGGGCAAAAAAATCCAGGTGGACATTTAATCATTGTGCTAGCATTAGAATTCACGGTATTAGTATTGTTAGGTCCGAGACAAAAATATCTAATATAAAAATCAAAAGAAAAAAAAACCATAGTGAATATAACTTATAAATAATAAATATTCAATGCTGTTTCATTGATTATGAGTAACTACCCAGCCGGACATTCCCAATGAATTAGTCGACCATTTATATTAATATTATCCTCTGGCCGAGGAGTTGAAATATATGTGCACTGAAAATAAAGCAAAAGGATATAAAAATTTATTAATCAAATCCATATTGCTAAAAAAAAAAAAGTTCATTGAAGCCGATATTCTAACATTAGTATTCGGATACGTTTTATTCCTGATCAACATCGAATAAACCCTAGGATCTAGTAAAGAATCTGGATCTGATGTGTTTATGTTAATTTGAGAATTATTTAAGCCAATAACAGGACTCGGAAGTGATGTTGGTATGTTTGGCAAAGATTGAGATTGAGTTATGTTTGGTGAAGTTTGTGATTGAGTTGGTAAGTTTAACAAAGTTTGAGATTGTGACAATACTAGCGTCGACAAAAATAAAACATATGATAAACATAGAAAGGGTTTATTCAACATTTTAATATGTTTGATTATTTTACAAAGTAGGCGTGTGAAAATTATAAACAGAAATTTTTAATTTTTTTGACTATGTTCGCCACTAGCAGACAAATAATTTTAAGGAAAGGTTAGTAAGTCACAATTCACTTATATTTAATAAATAAATTACGAAGAAGCGTTGCATTCCCGTTATCGTTCATTACACTTATATCTAAGCCTTAAGAACACAGCCTTTAACACCACATTTGATGCTTTGTTTATATGATAAATGTAAACTCTGCAATCGATCGAAATTACCGTACACTGCCATATCTTATAATTTATGTAGAGGTATAAGCCTCTCGTAAAAGCCTCTCTAGAATTGAATATAACCATATCATATAAAACAATTGACGGAGTTCAGAGTTTTTGTGATTTCAAGATATTTTATGGATCGGTTTGATATAGATAAAATCTGCGATCTTTCTTTCAAAAAGAATCGGACCGGGATATAAACGGTTTCTTTTAAAATTTCGTATTTGAATCACGTGGCTTATATATCATATGATTAATAGTTCCAATATGGGATATTCGCATGTACTTTATTATTTTAAATTAAAGACTATAATTTGAAATACAGTTTTGTTTTCTTGCACATAAAGTTATTCGAATAAAATATACCATATATATAGCTTTAATAAAATTCTAATCTTTAGAATTTACACGCTTATTTAAAGATAAAGTAAGAATTTATGAACCTTATTACGGTTTCGGATTTGTGGAATTTTATAAATAAAAAAAATCCATGAGCTGTAGCTCTGGTCAAATTTGCAGCTTATTTGGCCAGGTTTGAAATTATTTGACTTCAAAGCTGACCAAATGATCTGCAAATTTGACCAGAGTTACAGCTTACGATATGTTATTGTGATCTTGGCAACGGATTTGTAATCTGTCTTTGAGGTTGATCTTTAGTATAATAGAATATTACAAGATTATAATATATAAAATAACTATTTAAACTAATTTAAGCAAATTTATAGATAGTTAGGGTTAGGGTGAGGGTTATAGTTTATAGTTTAGTTTAAATTAGAGTTAGATTAGAGTTAGGGTTATTGGATTTAGAAAATCAACTATTATTTCGAAATAATGCACGGGTAGGTTATTTTGCGCTTATACGGTATCTAACGTTAAAGAAATTGGCAAAAGAGGACTTGTTTATGTATATTCAGCAATTTGATTGGATGATATACGAAAATTGATTATAATTGTGTAAAGTGAATGAACCATTTCGTACAAAACCATTTATTTTTTGTGTTTACTGAAATTTGATTGACCAGCGAAATTTTTCAGGGTAGTAACGCTATACGGCATACTACATCACTCACGACAACTATCTCACGGCAATATAACCTCGGGATTGTACTACGTCATAGCCATAATGTCACTACTCTGAGAAATGTCTGCATCATTACTATTTTCATAAATTCTGGGACACCTAAAAATTTTCTCGTTTCCCGGAATCTTTTCGGTTTCATCCAGTAAATTACCTAGCTCTGAAACTACATCGCTATTTCGAACCTTCAGTCCGGAGACAGCGATGTAGTTTCCGGAGGGTTAGGTAATTTACCGGACGAAACTGAAAAGATTCTGGGAAACGAGAAAATTTTTAGGTGTCCCAGAATTTATGAAAACAGCCTTCGAAAGTGAAGCTTAAGATAAGTATTAAAATTTCAGAAATTATAGCAGATCAGTATGGTATAGGTGAGCAGATCAGTATAGTATAGGCCGATTTTTAAAATTATACTATACGGATCTGCAAAATTATACTTACATATATATAATAATATCTGGTCCGTATAGTATAGATCTAAAAATCGGCCTATACTAACCTGCCCACCTATACTATACTGATCTGCAAAATATATTAAAATCAATAAAAATCGGCGAACCGTTTGTTGATCTTAACAGTTTTAGGAAATAATTAACCGTAATGCGGGCCAAAAATTGTTAGATCAGCAAACGGTTCGCACCTCTAAGTAAAATTCCAAGTAATTCTTGATTGTTAGCCAATCAAAATCGAGAATCCACCGGTTCAATTAATGGTTAATCATAAAGACATTACTGCGGCATTACGACATTACGGCACAAAGTAATTACGGGTAAATAATACGGCACATGCTGTAACCGTATTAATTCAACATTATGAGGGGCGTGTTATTTAGGACGTTATTTTGAGTCAAATATGTCAAATATGCGATTTTCAAAAAAAAATTAGAATTTCGAAATAATGTATACACCTAAGTTAATGCGAACAAAATAAGATTAAATGATAAATAGCTTATTTTGAACACATTAATATTTTTTTACAGTCATGTGCTAAATTAAATGTCAAAATAAAATTATATAGTAACATGAAATATGAGTAGTTGATTTTGAACATTTAGATAAAATAAATTTTATCATACTCGCCTAAATTATAGTAATAAACCCAATAATCTATTTAACATATAGATTGATAAATTTTCTTTATAATTACAAACTAAATAAAATAGTAAATCTTTATAAACTTGAATGGCTTTATTTTAAACACAGATCAATAAATTTTCATCATACTCAACTAAGTGCAGAAGTGAACGCGAACAAATGAAATTAAATAGTAAAAAGTTATGAACCAGAATAACTTATTTTAAACTTAAAAAGTGATAAATTTCTTTATAACACATACTAAACTAAAACAGTAAAATGAAATTGAATCGTAAATATTCATGAATTCGAATAGTTTATTTTAAACACTAGATTAATAAATTTTCATCATACTCACCTAAATTAACACAAGCAATATAAAATTGAATAATAAATAGTCATGAATCTATTTTAAACATGTAGATTCTTTTTTATAGTCACGAACTAAATTAAAGCAAGCAAAATGAAATTAGAAAATATTTATGAACTTGAGTAGCAAAATAGCAAATACTGTAGTCACGAACTCAAATAACTTTATTCTAAACACATAGATCGATAGATTTTCTTTAGTCACACATTAAATTAAAATAAATAAAATGAAAGTAAAAAGTAAACATTCATAAACTTGACTAGCCTATTTTAAACACATAAATCAATAAATTTTCATTAAGTTAATGCAAACAAATTAAATTAAATAGTAAATATTTATGAACCTGAATAGCATATTTTAAACATGTAGATTAAATAAACTTATTTTACAGCCACGTACAAATTAAAGCAGACAAATAATATGCAACGCGATCATGTTTATATTCCTAATCTTAACTATATACCCAGCACACAAATTTCTGGGAACTTGATCAGCATATACAACCTGATCTAGAATAAACAAAATTCATATGTTGCATGTATAAATAAGTATTTACTGACTTAGCTATTTCTTTTTTTGGATTCGTGTATTTTATTTTGATCTCATTTTTTTAGATTCATGTTTTTATTTTGATACTATTTTGGATTGTTTACTTGTTAAATAATAAATTTTTTTATGTGTTCATTTTATAAAATTTTTTATATATAAAGGCATGAAAAATCCCTCTATAAACTTCATGGTTTGAATAATATATTTTTGTATTAAAAAAGAAAATTAAATATTTTTAATGCTATAATGCCAAAAGAATTTAAACACTTTCAACCTGAAACTCTACCTAATTATTAAAGAAATAAGAAGAAATTTTGTTTAAAAAAATAAGTATAAATTTATATAATTTTAGTAATTATGAAATTGTGATATTATTATTTTAAGGTACCAATAAAATAAAATCTTTTTTTTTTTTATAATATAAAATAGCAAAACAATATCTGGGTTGAAAGTAGTTTAAATTCAAATAATTGGCATTAATAAAAATATTCAAAAATCTTTCTTTATATAAACACAAAAATTGAATTCAAATCATCATTTATATATGGCATGCCATAAATACAAGTTATTGTTTTATAATAAATATTTGACAAAAAGATTTTCTTAAATATAAAAAATACTCTCATTGTGAACCTCTTAATATAGTGAATTAAAAGACTCTCAAAATAAAAAAGAAAATCTTAAAGCCAAATTATTCAATTATAAATAATCAACTTGTATTGAGAGTCATAAGAGAGATTCACTACAATGAGAGTATATTATTATAATTTTTTATATACGTCTGTACATACGTATATTATATAATTTATATAATTTATGTATTGGTGGTAGCCAAATTTCGCACTGTTCGTTAGGAGTTTAGTGTAACAAGCATAGTTTCCAATAATTTTTGTAGGCTGAAAACTGCACCTGCATAATTTAGGATGCTGCATAACTGCTATAAATAAAAAAAAGCAGTATCGGTAAATTGTATCCATTTTTTTTTTTTTTGATTGAAAATGTCCAACGAAAATTTAACCGAATTGATCGATGGTTTCAGCAAACTGAATTTCTCAGATTGTCAAAATTTGGCAGATAAGAACGATCCAGACGGAATTTTCTGGCTCGGTTATTGTTACGAATATGGAATTGGAGTAGAAAAGGATGAAAAAAAAGCATACAAATATTATCAAAAATCGGCAAAAATGAAAAATTCTAACGGAATGTATCAAGTTGGTTATTGTTATAATTTAGGAATTGGCGTCGAAATCGATAAGCAAAAAGCGTTTAAATATTTTCTGAAATCTGCTGAGGCGGGTAATTCCAATGGAGTTCGGAAAACTACCATTTGTTACTGTTATGGAATTGGCATAGAAAAGAATTGGGATAAATTTGTGAAATGGTTTCAGAAGTAAGTTAATTTTTAATTTTTTATTATAATAATTTGTAATTTCTTTATTTGAAATTGAGATTTCTTATACAATTTTTAATTATTAGGGAGTAAGTATAAAATAAATTCATCAATCTAAATCGGCGATTTAAGTTCATATTTATTTATTTATTTTTTTTTTAGCCCGTGAGTATAAAGAACATTCATTCATTTATTTATTGATAAATAAGATCTGCCAACATTTATTTACCGTTACGTTTCATTCGCATTAATTTAGTTTGTAAGTAT